AATATTTAACGCAAGCCGTTATGCGTACGCTGTTTAAGCGAACAATTCAGAGCAATTAACAAGAAAGGAGGGCCAAAATTTTCTATATGCAAAATAAGTGCAATTGGTTGATTGAAAATCATTTGGCAAAAATAAAAAATCGGCGTTGTACGGGTGCGAAACATGGACAGTGGGCGTGGCGGAAAGGAAAAGGTTAGAAGCGTTCAAAATGTGGTTACAAGCGAATGATGAGGATATCGGGGATAGAGAAGGTTAGAAATGAAGAGGTATTAGAAAGAATAGGAGATCAATGAACTCTATAGAAGTCAATAAGAAATAGGCGAGATAGGTTAGTACGACACCTTCTCAGGCATGAATGTCTAGTCAGAGATATGTTAGAAGCAGAAACGGGAGTTAGGAGGAGTAGAGGTAGACCTAGATTAGATTATTGTTCGCAAATAGTTAAGGATGTGGGTTGTTCTAGTTTTAGGGAAATACGAAGATTAGCTCAGGATAGGAAAGAGTGGAGGTGCGTGTCCAACCAGTCTGAGGACTGATGACTTTATGAAGATGATAGTTAAAGTTCAGTTTGTAACAATAGGAAAGAATGAAGACGTGAATAATTGGTCTACTCTCTAGTAGTTTGTTCTTCAGAGTTTGGAGCCGGTAACTCATGATTTCCAGTAAGACAACAGCAAAATCTTATGCTATCGCTATAAGTACATTATTAAACTAAATTGGACGTTTTTATTTTTATTGCTAGCTTCTGTTGTTTCTTTTAAGTTCTAATTTTAAAGTAAATTGCATTTTTATTAATAATGAATGTTCTAGCACAATTCTAATTAGAATTTCTTGTAATTAAAGAAACTACAGCTTGTTTTGTATCTTTTGTTCAGTTCAAAGAAGAAGGCTAAGTGTGGACTGAAAGGTATCTGGTTAAGGATTTATGAGAAACTTAATAGCCCTTTGTCTACCAGACGAATAGCGACAACTTAATAGCAAAAAATTACTAGTAAATAACCTGCTCGAGACACAAAACCATTAGAAATCATTATTTATAATCACTTGTTTTCCATTGAAACAAAACACATAATGTTGATAGCGTAAACACACACGAGTGCTCCTCTATACTGGGCGATTTAATTTTCGGAGCTCTCCCTGTCTTAAATTACATTATACATTATCTATAATAAAAGCCTGATGTAAAAAAGGACAACTAAAACGTTAATTCCTGCACATGTGACGACAGTCTGAATGAGAGTCTTCAGAAACAACCTCCTCTTTCCACATAAAAACTTTTCTTTTGCTATTGGTCATGTACAACGCTTAAGAAGGTAGTATTTATTTACCAACCTATCTCGCCTATTTTTTATTGACTTCCATAGAGTCCTCTGTTCTCCTATTCTTTCCAATACCTCTTCATTTCTAACCTTTTCTACCCACGACATCCTCATCATCCTCATTATCCGCCTATAACACCACATCAAAATAAGCAAAACAAAAACCTAGCAAACGACACTGATCTTCTAAGAAGATCATGAGGATGAAGAGATACCAGTCCGAAAGTTGGTTAGACATTCACCTTCACTCATTCATCATATTTCCTGAAATCAAGAACATCCCACATCCTAACTTATTTGTGCGAACAATAATTTAAAGTCTTCCGCTACCCTTCCATCATATGTTTCTTCCAATATGTCTAAGAAGGAGTCCTACCAACTTATCCACTCCTTTTCCTTTTTGATTTTCACAGCGCCCTTTATTCTCCTATTTTACCCTGTACTTACTTACCTAACCTATTCTAACCACTGCATTTTCATCATCACCTCTCCAACCCTTCTTTCTATTTGTTTTCGTCTCGCTCAACTTCCACCTTTCGTACCAGTATCGAACATATAGTCTAAACAATCTTTTTAGAATATCTAAATTAATTATGCGATTTATATACCATCAGGGCGAACGGCTCAATAAAATTTGTTCCCTATTTGAGCGTCACTTAATTCTGAGGTTTTCAACTCGCTCCAACGCGGTCATTAGTCGCATATACTTGTTTACATTCAGAATTCATACGGTAAATTAAATAAAAAACTGGTAGTTACAAAGTCACCCAGAAGGAAGACCATTCCATATTTTATAAACCTAAGCATTCGCAAAACTTGTTTTGTATTTGGATTAAATCTGAAGAATTCGCAAGTTTTATGACACTAATTTGGTAATAGGTAATAATAAATCATTCTCTGCGTGATATTTTAACTGTTTGTTTGTCGGAAAGCCCTTTATGTTTTCTTATGTTAAATGCCCAGCCAGATAGGTCATGACAAACTACTTACACCAAGCCATTTATGCGTTGAGGTAATTTAGCCAATACCTGACGTTTTATTGGTTTTCTTGAAGACCAAACGATTGCTTCAGGGTAATAAGGAAGTAAAAGTTCACCATGCATACGCACATCGGCAGATATCTCATGCAAGAGTCGTATCGGTACAAGTTGTAAGAATCATTTACAGGATTCAGTGTGAAAAATACTGGCTAATAGCGCAAGATAATTAAGTGTCATAAAATATTTAGTGGTTGGAAATGATAGGTTGGGAGTGTTTGTCCGAAATTTACATTGTAAGTTGATGTTAAATGTGAGAAGTAATTTTTATAAATAGCTCTCAAAAATTTAAAAGTTCTTTTGTTACTGAAAGTACAAGGAGAGAGGTTTCTAACATATAATGGTCATATCGATGCTGTGTTTTCTTCCGGGCTTTTTGGCCGTGGTCCGTGGAATCTTGCTTTTCCAGACGTTTCGCCGTTCTTTGCTTACGGCATCTTCAGTGGTGAGTCGTAACATCACGGCGAAACGTCTGGAAAAGCAAGATTCCACGGACCACGGCCAAAAAGACCGGAAGAAAACACAGCATCGATAGACGCCGGCCGTGAAAGCCTAAGAACTACTATAATGGTCATAGTTGAATAGTGGTGATTAATCGTAAGACCAACACAAATCTAAATGTGAAACAGTATTTTTGTTCATCACTATAGCAGAAGAACACTGCTTGACTGTTCACTAATCATCATCATCATCATCATCATCATCATAAGGTCATCAGTTCTAAGACTGATTGGACACGTATCTCTACTTTTTGCTATCCTGGGCTAATCTTCGCATTTCCCTAAAACTAGAACGTCCCACATCCTAAACTATTTATGAACAGTAATCGAATCAAGGTCTACTTCTATTCCTCTTAACTCCTGTTTCTGGTTCTAATATATCTCCAACTAGCCCTTCATTCCCGAAAAGGTGTCCTACCAACCTATCTCGCCTATTTTTTATTGACTTCCATAGAGTCCTCTGTTCTCCTATTTTTTTTTTTTTAATACTTCCTCATTTCTAACCTTCTCTATCCACGATATCCTCATCATTCACCTGTAACACCACATTTCGAACGCTTCTAACCTTTTTTTTCTCACCGCGTCCATCGTCACACCCCTAACAGCGCCGTGCTCCAGACATACCCCTTTAACATTCTTATTCAAGTTAATTAAATGCATCAAATATTTTACGGAAGTGTTTTTTTCAGATGCTTGACACAACTTCAATCGTGTCGCAACCGTTATTTCCGTTTAATAACCCCTGTGTTTCAAGTGACACTAGCAATCTCCCCCAATTTATCCCTTTTATGTCCGATACTCGAGGTAAAAACGAGGGTTACAATAAAAGGTTTCACCGCAGAAGAAAGGTTACAGTTGCCAAGAGTACAAGCTTTAATTTAAGCATTAGGTACTGCAGTTTTTTTTTTAATATCACACTGTACTCTTAATAGGAACATTTGAGAAGGTACATTATGAGTATTCCACAAAAACTCCATGGAATTGGAAAATTATTGAATGTCTAAATTTGTGTGTATTTATTAATATTCTATATTATATAGTATATAGTAATCCCTGGAATTATTGAATCAATTCCTAAAATTCCTTCACTCAGAGAACCCTTATACATTATATCCTTGACTAATATTAGCAAATTTTTTTTCCATAAAAATTACTGCAGCAATGAGGGCCCTAATCTTTATTGAAATTGTTTCAAAATATTGTAAAAATTTGAAAAAATGATAATATTAAATGGTATTATACAGCCAAAATCCGCTAAAGTGCCTACATACCAAATTACCAAATTAAAAAAAAATACGTGCCAGAAATTAATACTGTCTCGTATAGGTTTAAGCAGACACACTTTCGGCCATTAAAAAGTTAATTACGCTAACTGTAAAACATATTACTTGGCAGACACATTTGCTATATTTTTGTTAAAAAGCTTAATTAATTCCACAACAATGTTAATAATATCTAAATATAATACAGTAACAACGTTGTCTGCCTTAATACGTTATAAACAAATTGCACTGATGGATTCTATTTTCGTTTGAACGTTCCGGCAATTCATTAATTCGTGTATTTAAAATGTTACATAATTAAGTAAAGTGTGACATTCCTCAGTGGTATTAAAAGATAATCAAACAAACGAGTTTCCAGAAACACATGGAAATTAAAAAGAACTCTAATTTACATTTCAACAAAATACAAAACACCCACTGTACTTAGCCACTGGAAAGATTCTCTCACTTTCTTTTGAGTGGTGTAGGTACTGAAGGCTTATAACTTTTTTCTTTTTTAATTCTATTACATACTTATTTAATATGTTCAGGTAATTTTATTTTCTTATTCGATACCATGTAAGTGTTTTCTTTTTATTTGTATGCCATAATTATCATGAAGATTTTGTGAAACTGTTAAAGACGGAGTGACGAATTCTCTTCACAAAAAATGCTCATTGATACAAATGTTTCTTTGAAGATCTTCCAATAGAAGCCTCAATATTATATAGCAAGTCGTATTTTACGCTGCAGATTCCAATACCAAAAAATAAAGAGGTTCAATATGTGATAAAAGAACATCATTTGGGTTATTTCAACAAGTTGTAATCATCTTTTACTTTTTTTAACTGTTAGAAGAATGGGGTCGTGTTTCTTACATACCTGGTGGGCAAACGCACTCAGGGGCATCCCTCGTTGCTCTCCTGAGGGTGTCTGCGGCTTCTGTGCCGCGATTGGAAACAATCCCCCTGTGGACCCGTTGTCGCAAGCGGTCTTCTACTTCTCGTCGAAACCTTTCGAGTACAACTTCGGCATTTTCGAAGGGCGACCGCCTCTCGAGAGAAGCCAATCTTGCCTCGAGCACGTCCAGCCGGCTCTCGAGGGTTGCTTCCCTCCAAACACTGTAGACACTAGCGGTAACGCACACAACACACAATACACACACAAACAAATTGTAACTGGTCGAACGATAATGAAAACTTGGTCTCGTGTCGCTATCGATTTCGAGTTTCGAACAGTCTTCGGACTTGGGGCACTTTTTTTTGTTGGACGCGAGGCGCACGGGGTTGTTCATTCTCGCCTCCGTTTCTGAAGCCATCGCTTGATCGTTAAAGTTGCGTTACGTTTTTCGTGTCATTAGTACGACAATAGTCTTTCATCGTGACGAACTTTTTTCCTTCTTCCCCGGTCAGAGTCAAAAGTCCCACACTACAGCGAAGAAAATAAATAGATGATCCCTTCCCATCCGCTAAACCATCCTGTTTCGCCCTCTTTTGTTCACCGATACTGACTCTCTCTTATTGTTCTGGATTGATGACAAAATAAATGAATACTCGCCTCAAAGAATCTCGTTGAACGATACGCGGTCTTCGATATCGTGGAACGAAGTGAAATGCGCGGACTTCGTGTGTTGCTACTGCGATCCTTCTGTTGAACGACGAACGCGCTTGACGACTAACTGAAGCCCGAAAGTTGTCTAAAGTTCGAATCCGAAGAGAAGTGCCATGCGGCCAGGCCGATGGAGGGATGAAGATCGTTCTGCTCGTGCGTGTTCGACTCGACGCGATCAAGTGTACACTACACTTTAAAGGGTCTTTCAAAACAATGGACTTAAAATTAAGCGACAATAACATCTGCGTTAATCAATGATTTCAATTGATGTATGAATATGTAAACACCGGTGGAATGCTTCATGATAATCGCATTCATGTAAACTCCTGACTCAGAAAAGAAGGTAAACACATCTGCACATTGCATTATCGCGAAAATGTTCAGATGATTTCGTATCGCAAATAAACAGGGCAGCAAATTACTTTCAATCAAGCGAAGAGGTAACCAACCGATGAAATACAAAAGTGAATAATGAATGGGTTTCCTGCTTACAAAATATATCGATGAAAAGTATGTATAGAAACAGTTTTTCTGATGAAATATTTTAGGATTTACAGCCGGTGTCCATAATTAAGAAATTATTTTCTCAGCTTGATGATCCTGACTTAAAAGTTCTTCTCCTTAGGTGGTCCCTCGGTTGTTTTTCTCCGTTTTTACTGTTTCCAAACATTAAAAAAAAAGATACTTAATGTCACTAAAGAAAAGATATCGATAATAAAATATAGAAAAAGCTCAGCAACCTTTACAGTTTCCTAAAAGAAGAATGTGCACCAGGTTGATCTTGATACATTAGAATAAGCCAGAAGCTTCCTTTCCTTGATGTGAAATTAATAACTCTAAAGAAAGCCATCAAGCATGTCAAATACCAACACCAGCAGCATTGTTTTTGGACATACGTAGTGGTTATATCATCCTTTTTCCTTATTCGATGTCTAGTACTTGATCGTGTCTGCAGGGGACTTGTTAAGTTGGGTTTGATCAGTTTATGTCAAAGAAAGAAGAAACAACCCCTTTCTCAATGCGGTCAAATCAACTCCCCAAATAAAATTTAGAATATAAATACGTGGGATTGTCAAATGATTGAAAGCTTGGACTTCTAGAGACTATATCTCCTTCGGGTCATCGATATAAACGTGAAAAAATAAATAAAATGATTTCCAAGCTATAAAGATCGTAGTGTGCCATGGATTTTACTGTGGCTACCAAACCACATCGGTCTCGATACTATTCTTGACCTCCGCTCCTAGAGTGTGGATGTTTGTTTTGCAATTATCAGTGATATCTTGGTCTTGGTCTGATACCAAATTATCTAAATTAAATGGTTACCTAGTAGGTATGTTTTTAACAATAATGATTGTTTTCAGTTTTGGGCATCACAAATCCCAAATGAGCTCTGCATGGGCCCTAAAAACCTGCGATTGCATAGAACGCAAAAAATACTGAAATTAGATTATTACTAATAAACTGTGAGTTCTAATAATAGTCATCCTTGAAAACAGTTGGCATAGATATGAATAATTGGCCAAAAAATTCTTGACGAGATGCTTTTATCAGTGAGTGTATCTGAAACACATTCAAAACAATGCATTCTAGTTAGACAGCATTCTATGCACACAAACAACATCGCTTCAAATTAACAGAATTCATTGTAGTGGATTGTTGTTGAGGAAGCTCATGTTATCGAATATCTCATGATAAAGTCACGTGGTTGAGCGTCGAGGGCAGTGTCGGTGACATAATTTAAAATTTAAATTAGCCTGGATTATAAACACACTGGGGCCTACTTCCCGAATTCATACCTACAGCAGACAGTATTATATGCACCTGTCGGTGAATCTTTAATCTACCATGCATGTAGGCTAGTGACCGGAATAGGTCAATTACCTTTGCATTTTCATTCGTTACCGAGCAGATCAATAGGTAACGTTTACGATTCCATCAATACACTTCTCCCGATTACTCAAATTTGTTCTGGCTAGTGGACAGTCCTACTAATTAACACTCTGGTGCAAAGTGGTGAGCAAAACAGAAGGCCCTCTTCAGCCTCCTTTAGAAATCCGGGAATGACTAGGTTGTGGTGGTGGTGATTGGGGAAAAAGATGGAGTCGTAGGGTCTCCTTCAGCCTCCTTTAGGAATCGCAAGGTGTTGGTAGGAAAAAAAAGTAAGACAGAAGAGATGCAGACAGTGAAAAAGTGAGTGACTATCTGTAGCGCATTGTGGTAGATACGGTTGGAAGGTTCTCTTCAACTTCCTTTGAAAATCGCTGAGGCGTGGAGGGAAAATGGATAAGATGAATGAGATACAGAAAGTTAAAGAATGAGTAAGTATCTGCAATGAATTGGGGGGCGCTGGGGAAGAATGGGTATGACGGAAGAGAACAGACAGTGAAAAAGTGAGTTAATATCTGTGATGCATTGTGGTCGGAAGGTTCTCTTTGTAATCCTTTAGGTATCGCCGAGGGTATTGAACAAAGAAGGATAAAACGGATTATATAGGTATACCTAGTCACTGAAAAAGTGGTAGTGGAGAAAGAAAAGGATAAGACGGAAGAGATACAGGCAACGAAAAAGTGAGATAGGCGAGATAGGTTAGTAGAACACCTTCTTATTTAGGCATGAAGGTCTAGTCAGGGACTTATTAGAGGCAGAAACAGAAGTTAGGAGGGGTAAAGGTAGACCTAGATTAGATTACTGTTCGTAAGTAGTTAAGGATCTGGGTTGTTCCAGTTTTAGGGAAATGCAAAGATTAGCTCAGGATAGGAAACAGTGGAGGTGCGTGTCCAACCAGTCTTAGGACTGATGATCTTATGATGATGATGATGATGATGATCACAGAGATAGTAGCCTACAAAATGTTACTATTCTCTTCAAAATTTATCAAGAATTAGAGCAGCTTCCCAAGGCATTTCATACATCCTGAACATTCTGACGTAAAATCCATATAAAATGTAAATTTAAGGGAACGTTGAAATGAGGCATAAACGTCAATCAAATACCCGGGTGTTTCTCCTTGAATAAACACCTATAGAAAATTCGCAAGGGTGAGTAATGATAAATTCTGGGTGATATAGTAAATATATCATACTACACTGTTCCAGGTAAGCCAGCTTTCTCGCTATATTTCTACGTAACAATGATGAACGACATTGTTTTTTCTATTATTGTATTTTTATGAAAATCAGACAGAATGTTCTACTTTGAAAATTCATGCTTCTTGTACACCTATCTCTTTTTATTCCGATCCTTGGGATATTTAAAAGAAAGAAATTAACTTCTCTAACAATATATGTATTATGTGTTGTATAATGTATATCAAATTCTTAATAGATTCAGCAAATTAATAGATTTACATGAGCAACCGTCTGAAAAAAAGAAATGCTTTACCGTCAGCTTTCGTTTTCGAATATAAAAAAAACAGTCTGTTATTTTCGGCAGCCTGTGTTTCTTTGTCACTGTCACCGAAAATGTCCCTAGTAATAAATGATTATAGGCGCGGGTGATTTAAATTTAAAAATGTAAATTTCGTATGACACACCCACTCGCGTTCAACCCACAGGTGAGGTGCGAACTGTCTTCGGCATTAGCTGAATAGAAATATAAATTTTAAAATTTCTGGTCACTGCCCTCTCATCATAAAAGTTTAAGCGTATTATTTTTAATTAGGTATAATTCAAAGGAGACATTAGAACAATTAAATTGAACGCCAGTTGTTGGAACATGTGTATGTTTTTTACTCAATCGTTTCTGTGTACGAGGTGTGTTCAAAAAGCATCGCGAAATTTGTGTTTTTTTAAAAATTATTTAGTTATTCATAAATATCTATTTTGTTTCCTTCAATGTACTCCTACCAGATATTATACATTTCTGCCAACGTTTTTTCCAATCCTCGAAGCACTTCAAAAAAATCATTTCTTGTGTTCTTGTTCAGCTTCTCCTTTTACGAGGCTCTTTAGTTTAGGGGACCAAAAAAGTCACAGGGGGGTCAGATTTGGGGAATACGGTGACTGCGGCATTATTAATGTGTTGTTTTTGGTCAAATATTCGCGCATAAGGCAGGGGTGTTATCATGGTACAAAAGCCAATTTCTGATCTTCCACAAATCCAGGTGCTTCTGGCGAATTGCCTCGCGCAAAGTGCGCATAACTAGCAGGTAATATTCCTTATTGACAGTTCTACCCTGTGGCAAGAACTTATGATGCAGAACGCCCCTGCAATCGACGAAAACTGTAAGCAAAACCTTCACATTCGCCCTAACCTGGAGCGCTTTCTTCGATCTTGGCTCGTGCGGCAGCTTCCATTGGGATGATTGAGCTGTGGTTTCCACGTCATAACCATAAACCCATGATTCGTTACTAGTTATAACCCTCTGAAGTAAATTTGGGTCGTTGCGGACAGAGTCCAACAGCTCATTAGCAATGTTAATGCGATGCTGTTTTTGGTCGAAATTGAGCAATTTTGGTACGAATTTCGCGGCGAACCGTCTCGTGCCCAAATCAGTGGTAAGAATCTAATGGCACGAGCCAATCGATATGTTTAGGTAACTTCTCCAACGGTGATTCGACGATTGGCCAATACTATTTTCTTCACATCATCAATGTTTTCGTCTGTTGTTGACGTGCTAGGACATCCGGCACGCTCTTCATCATTCACATCTTCTCCGTCATCTGAGAACATTTTGTACCACCGATAAACGTTGCTTCCGTCCAAGGTAGCTTCACCATGGGCCACAGTCAACATTCAGAATACCTTTGCCCACTTAATTTGATACAGATTATTTGGTCCATTTTTTGAAATAGACAAAAATCGAAGAAGAGCCGAAACATGTGCAAGCAAAGCAACTGTCAGATATTAACTGAGCACTCAACATGAGACATGAGTACCAACATAATGCCACAAATAAAAATCGAAAATCAAACATACATAACCTCAAACATAAATTCAAATTCGCGATACTTTTTGAACAGACCTCATATGCGTATTGGCATGCTCCTGTGTGGTATATATTGAAGGTCACCTTCAATACAAGAAGCTTCTGCTTTATTATAGTAGATTACAATTACTTAAAATTACTCTTTATTAAGCCATTAATGTTCGAAAATGATTATCCATAACGACATTTATAATGATTTATTGCGTCGGTGCGAATTAAC